ATGGGAGCCACTCAAGCAGGCGGGGCTGATAGATGCGTGTCACCGTGTGGAAGTAGGCTGTGAGCTAATTGATCGGGAGCAAGGTTTGTTGGTCTGACGAGAGGCAATGGATCGAGGATTTGTTTAAAGGAAAAAAGAGGCACGAGTGTGTTAAGCTTCACATGATATGAGTGTGTGTTTGTGTACGTAGGCAACTAGGAGATGGATTCAGATCTTTGCTGCTAAGGGTACATGGAGAAGCACAAGCAAATAGTGACAGAAAATAATAATTATGCAAAGTATTCTTCAGGTCAGGTTTGCATGGAAGTTTTTCTATCAAGATTTGCTGAGAGGGCTCAGAGTATGTGGAGGAGAACAGTGTGTCGTGACAGGGATCATGCCTACACAGGGCGTCAAGGCAATGCACAGATATGTGAGGCGGACACGACGCAGGGTGGAGCATGTTTGCAGTCGGATAATTTCGGCTGGGTCGGACTGGACAGTCTGATGGACCGACGGGGATGTCGGTCAAAGCAGAAGACGGCCGTGATTTCAGCAACGACGACATAAGAGCGTGATGCTGATGGTGGCCGACTTCTGGGCGTGGAAATGCGTGGTGCAGGTCTGAGGGCTTGTGCGGCTTGTGCGGCTTCGGCGGACTATGACGCGGGGTTGATTCAAGGCAGTGTACACATGAGAGCTTGAAGTCAACAGGGCGCGGGGGTGGCATGTACAACCACCATGGAGTCATGTTGAAGGTGGAGTTGGAGTCTGATGGGTGACTTCACTCTGAGCTGATGGAGGGGCTATGGCGTAAGTTAACGGAGAGTCGAAGCCTATTTCAGCGGGTTAGCGAGAGACACGTGGATCGGACTGGGTACCAGTGGTCTGATGGAGACGTGATACTCGGCACCGGTCGGTAATGATTGGTGGTTCTCTGCAGTAGGGGTTGAGGCAGTGTGGGGCTAGCTACCCGGGAGACTCGACCAGGACAGCAGAGGCTCAACGCGGTGATAGCGGCGAGGCGTGCGGTAAGCACGGGACACAGCGACAGACCAAGGCACTGGTGGTCAGACATGTGTTCAGACAAAGTGTGCAAGGGTGCTGAAGCAGTGTTGATGAGTACCGGATTCAAGTTGGTGACTGGGTCTATCGGTGCTAGTTGATGGACAGGAGTTGACCATGAAAGAATCTGAGAAAGTGGCGGAAAGTCTGAAATTGTCAAAAGCTGAGAGTGTACATGGCCGTATATTCTGTGGTGTTCAGTGCACATGGCAAAGTGCGGATGACAAATACAGAAGGAGGCGGAGTGCTATAGCTGTGGGACATGCCAGAGACTATCCGGAAAAGGGGTGAGACAACTGTGAATTTGACTCAGGGTGACCCAGGGCGACGGTGAAATTCCTTCAAGTTTCAGACAAGCAGTCAAGAAAGAGCGGTGACGTTGAGTTCAGGTAACTCTTATATGTGGCGTCCAATATGTGAATTGTTCATTTTCATGCAGACAGTGGTCGGTGTGTGATGGCGTTGAACGGATTCTCCGGAAGTTGGAAGCACAAGGTAGAGTAATGAGGAACTTAATTTTGCTCGAGTGTTGACTGTGAAGAAGACAAGAAGGGACTACAGTTGCAGGTGGAGTCACATGGAGTCTGGGAGTAGCAGCGGTGCTCATGGCGTATCTCAAGTTCAATGTACATGGAGGTTCGATGCACGGACGAATTCAAGATGGTGGAGAATATTCGCCAAGGTGGAGTTTATTAGAGTTGTGTCGAATATTATTGTACAAGTTAGGTTACAGTTGAACTTGGAGTCGTACTGTGTGTAGACAGGGTAGGAGTTGTGTCCTAATAGGACACTTGTATCCTAGGCCTCTCATATATAGCGGGGTAGACACACGATGTAACCTATGCCAACATAATAGCACGGGCACGGGGGGAAGCCGGCGGCGTGTGCCGGCGCCCGGGCGGCCGGGGTGCGGTATTGTGACGGTGTCATGGGGAGGAGCGCCCGTAGTCATTGCCCCGAGGATGTAGCCATATCGGTGAACCTCGTTAACAAATCTCGGTGTTGTGCTCGTGCGGTTTCTTGGTCCTCGGTAGATCAACAGAGTGCCTCGGATTTATTCTAACACCGCTTCCAGAAAAATCACCGAACCTCTTCTAGGGGACGATGCTTCGGGGCTTTAAGGCACCTACCTTTATGTCTATAACATGTGGGCCCAACAGGTGGCTGGCCCACATGTCAGTGACCCAAAGGCAGGTGCCTTTAAGGCACCGAAGCGGTGTCCTCTCCTAGGCCTCTATTCCTATTCCTAGGGAGCTTTGTTTTAGGCAACCTAGGAGCTTAGTAACTACTATAAGGATATCCTCATGTGACCGTCAGACCGTGCATGGCAAGTGTGGAAGGCCCTTGGGCTCAAACATGTTATTGAGAGGGCTATGCAGTATCATAACATGATATCCTCATAGCTTGAGCCTCTCCATGGCATGTCTATCTGCAGCCAATCGTCCCTAACATATTTCTTGTGTGGGATAGACCATGACCTTCAGAATACCGAGTATGCTGACATACAAGTTCTTCTTGCTGTGACTAGTTGGTACATCTGGTGAGAATTAATGTAGGCAACACGTTAAAGGGAAAGCAATACAGTGCCGGAAAGAGCTGCTATGTCAATCCATGCTCTGACGGCAAACTATGAAGGAAGCAAGGAGAAGAAGAAATGCATAAAGCGTCATGGATGGCAGCGACCACCGAAGAAAGTAGTGAAGATCAACGTCTGACGCCTCTTTCTAAAGCAAGCATTTCCAAACTAAGAGTGTTCAAGTTCAATTTTCCTGTACCGGTATAATTTTCAAGGAAGATATGATCCGGTGAAAATTTATCAGAGAAATCTATGCTCAAGGCCTCTATATATGTGAGCCTCCAGGTTGGCCCCTTGGTCGAAACACATTTGCTGATCGGAGATAGCGGAGGTAATAATTAACTTGTGCTCACTGCCCTCGGGGGGCTAACGATCGAGGTTGCAGATTATTTAGGAGGTAAATACACCAGAGGTCTTAGAATTTGCGTGCGGCGGTCACTTTGGTGCACAAAGTTGTAAAATACGTGTTTGTGGTCACTAAACTTGCGAGGCCGTTCAAATACAGTCACTCTCACCGTACGCATGCGTATCCGTAGACGCCAGCATGGCACGGGCCCGCTGTCAGCCACCGTAATTGCTCTTGTATGGTAGATTTGTAGAAAAGCCCGCAGTTCTTTTTTTATTTACATAGGAACCCCTGAAATAAGAAAAATAGTGGGGTGGCGGGGTTCCATACTTGGACGTACTGCTAAGTGGCACGATTGAACAACCACCACGCCAACAGTATCATGTGTTTACTTTGCACTACTATATTAAACTGTATATCCTATCCGGGTGGACCCAAAAAGTGATAATGAAGAAATTTATGTCTTCTAATAATAAGAATGCAAAGTGCAATCGGTGGGTTCGAACCTATGAAATGGAGATTCACTCGCGCATAAGCCAACCACCACGCAACTGCGACATGTGATGTAATTTAGAGATAGACAATGTATATGTTTTTATCACTCTTGTTCTCTGTAAGTATGTGCCATTTTAAAAAATGTTTAAACATTGTAAAAAATGTTCGTGTAATTCAAAATATGTTCATGCAATAGAAAAACTACGCGAACAGTTTTTTGAATGCGAGCATAATTGTACATTGTGTAAAACTCACAATTTTTTTTGAAATGTGTCAACATTTTTTAAATGCAATGTACATTTCTTAATTTACATGAATATTTTTCACAGTGTTTAAACATTTTTATAAATGCCATGTAGTTTTTTTTACGCATGTACATATTTTGAATTGCACAAACAATATTATTTGAAAATAATACATGAACAATTTTTTCTGATCCACGAATTTCTCAAATAAAACGAATAGGTGTTATTATGAATATTTAAAAAGTATTTGTGTTATTCTTATGCAAACATTTTTATAATTCATAAGTATTTTTTTAGAATAATACATGAAAATTATTTGAAATTATCTTATTAATGGCATTATAATTTGCATACTATCTACAAATTTCTGAAAAATAAACAAGTGCAAAATGGGTCGCCGGACCACAGCCCATTTCTGTTTCATGAGCGTTTCCGTTTTTGTACATTAATCTTAGTTACTCTTAATAGCTGTCTACAAATGTGTGGCGCAGTTTGTGTGACCTGTATTGTACTAGCATTAGGTCAGGGTTCGAGATCTGGCAGTTAAACTTTTCGTCCCATCGATTGTTGAATTTTTATTTTACATAGAAGAAGAAGAATAAGGGGTTTTGTGCAAAAATGCGTCCATGTGTCATTGACAGTGGGCCCATGCCATGCTGGCATCGACGGATACGCTCGTGTACAGAGAGAGTGACTGTATTTGAACAGTCTCGCAATTTTAGTGACCACAAACACATATTTTGCAACTTTGTGCACCAAAGTGACCGCCGCGTGCAAGTTCTAAGACCTCTGGTGTATTTACCTCATTATTTAGCTAGCTATATGCCGCTGATCATCCAATCCAATCGTGCTTACACGAACCACCTATGTTTATTCGGCATAATAAGCTCGTGAACAATTATATTTACTGTTATTTGAGCAATAAAAGGTTATTTTTCTAGTCAATAAAAAAATTAAGGATGTGCACTTCCGTTGGGTTGCGGGGAAAAGTATACAAAACAGCCCAGAAAACTCAGGGCTCAGGCCCAGCAACTCCGAGGTCTCCTCGCCTTCTTCCTCCCCACAGGCCACAACGCACACGAACACGCAAAATCGAAAAAGAAAGTCGGGCGGCCGCCGCCGCCATCTCCGGTTACCATCGGTGGCCTCAAGGTTCGATCCACTCCCCCGTATCCTGCTCCTCTCTTTCCCTTTGCTTTCCTCTGGAGATTAATCTGCTTTTCTTTCCCACCATCGTATTAGCACGCGGCGGCGCCGTCACGTGGATTCTTTCTCCCTCCCGGCCGGTCACCAGATGGGGGCATGTAAGACGGCGTCTACGTGTTCCCCGGATGAGGCTCAAGGCATGCATGTGTTTCATATCTTGGGCTACAGCAAGCACAGGGGCATGGGCAAAGACCCCGATAGCTTCATAATATCCAGGATTTTCACTGTTGTCGGCCACGACTGGGCCATCCGCCTCTACCCTGACGGATACAGCATAGCATATCTAGATTACATCTCAGTTTATCTCGAGCTTATGAGTAACAACACTAAAGTCCGGGCATCTTGCGACCTGAGGCTTGTTGACCAATTTACCGGGTTATCGTATTCAGCGCAAAAAACAGGGCCTAGGATTTTCAATTTCGACGATTCCACTGGGTTTGCTCCAGAGTTCTGTGAGTTCAAAAGACGAAGCCATATCGAGGGATCCGCATACCTTAGGGATGATCACCTGACGATAGAATGCATCATCACTGTTATAAAAAAGCCACATGTTGCCGATACCAAACCATTCCCCAAGATTGACATGCCACCATCTGACATGACTGCGCATGTTGGCAGGCTGCTGGAAGAAAAGGAGGGATTTGATGTTAGTTTCATTGTTGGGGAAGAAACCATTGAAGCGCATAGGTTCGTTCTTGCTATGCGGTCACCTGTTCTGAAAGCAGAGCTCTACGGGTTGACGAGGGAGGCGAGGCCGCCGGGGCAGTCCATAACCATCAAGGACATGCAACCTGCCGTTTTCAAGGCCCTGCTTCATTTCATCTATACTGACTCTTTGCCGGGAGACATGGATCTTGAGGGAGGTAAGGATACTGACATGGTCCGGCTTCTGCTAGTGGCTGCAGATAGATATGCCATGGAGAGGCTCAAGCTGGTTTGCCAAAGCATCCTTTGTGAGGATCTGAACGCGGTCACCGTGGCAACCACATTGGCTTTAGCTGACCAACATAACTGCCACAAGCTTAAGGATGCTTGCCTTGAATTTATGGAAATGTCAGATGACATGGATGCTGTGGTGGCAACCCAAGGCTTCAAGGATGTCAAGGCAAGTTGCCCATCTCTCATAGTGGACGCATTGGAGAAGAGAAGAAAGTTTCGTAAAGCATGAGCAGCTACATAGGTAGAATTGCCAAATCATATAAACTGCTTGTCAATATTTGATAAATTTCTTGTACTCACTTGCCATTGTGATGGTAAGCTCAATGCTAGATGGATCTAAGAATATTTAGGTTGATTTTCAAGTGATATGGATGATATGAATATTCTCGTCGATGAACCCAGATTTGTATTCATCATATTGTTGATTTCATCTGGAGCGCTCCCTTGCAATCGTGTAACAGTTGGTCTTAATTTTCTGGCAAAATTTCCTCCATTTGTGTGCAACCTTTGTTGCGCATTTGACACCCATATGATTTACGTTATCGTGCAGTGTTATGATGGCCTCATCTATTAGAACGTAACAAGATTAAAACCGCATATTTGGTTAAACTCCATTGCATAGCATTGTAAGTTACATATTTTGATTCCTTGAAGCATGATAGAATGATCTTGTACTAGATTGTAAGAGTGGGCAAACAGGGCCATGATTAGGATTACAACATTGAGCTCTTAAAGGAATAGCTAGCAGCTCTAGGAAGAACTGGCTTCACTAGCAGCTCTTAAAGGTAACCGCAGTGAAGAGCATTTGTATCTGACATTTTCTCTGTTTCTAATATCGCCGGTCTGAGCCTCCGGTCCATGTTCTTGTTCCTTCCCTGTTCGGCATTTAGGCTGTTGACAAGTTTGAGGTTATCTGTAAATTTTCTTCCATGGTATATCTGCAAAACATGAAAATTATGTGCTGGCAGCAATGCCATAGAGGCTTCTGTGTGGGAGGGAGACACAAACAGATCAAATGTTAGCTTGAGTATTGAGAGTTTTGATGGAGATGTGAAGACCTAACCCTGACCTGCATTGGGTTGTGAAAGAAGCATCACAGCAGCAGAAAGCCGAAGGAGCTCGGTGCTGTGATGAGGGTCATTTTGGTTGATGGGAGGATCCTTAGTCTGTTAACTTCTGGTCTTGGCAATGTGATCATTGTGGGATAAAAAGTCTTATTTGGTAAGGTAAATAACTGAGTCTATAGGTGTTTCTTTACCTTTGATTCTCTGGTTATACATATTTTTTTTAAACGTAAATGTTATACAAATGATGTAAATATATTACAAATAAGAGGCATATGATGTAAATCAACTTTGAGGTTATCCAAGAAAACAATGGAAAATAGATGAGCAGCATTGTAGTCTGTTCATCCCAACGGAAAGCGAGTGGAAGAGAAGCTTGTGTTATGTCGAGGCGGCTGACGTCCTCGTCTACAATCGGCTTCGCTGGTCAATAGCCTTCCGCCCCGCAAGGCCACGACAGGAAAGACACACACAGTGCATTTGCTGAACTAACATATCAGTTTAGTTATGACACCTCCCTTCTGTTTGGGAGGTGAGATGAGCCGCGAAGCGGTAACATAGGTTTACGGGATTATGAACACATCATATGATCTTATATCAGCGAGTGAATGACAGTTTGTGTTGCAAAAGGGGATGAATTTAGCGTCGCCAGTGTCGTGGTGTCGGGCGAGAGGACAAGTACTGCAATGTCTGAAAAAATGCACACAAGCTTTGTCAGAAGAAGATGGTGCATCTTGCTAACTGGTTGGGTAATGCATTTGGTAGATGAACAGAACTAATCGCTTGATTGGTAACCCAACACATTTGATTATAACAACAGTACATAAATTAAGCATATCCGATTCGATGTTACATTGTGCTTATCTGTTTTGTTTTTCACTTACTAGCAATGGTCAAAGCCACATGTTGGAGAGAACAGCGCCGGAGGCTGGCATCCCTTCTCTGAAACCTCAAAACTGGGCGCCGACGAACACGCTTTCAGATTCAGACTGGGCGGCCTCCATGTGCGGTGCGCAAACCTTGAGAGCAGGCAACGCAAGGGCACTCGCTCCTTGCTTTTGCTTGTTTGTTGGCAGATTTGGCGGGAGCGTAACAGGAGAATTTTTGACCAAAAGGAGCTGCCTGTTGCCGCTGTAGCCCTTCTTGGGCGATGTTGCTTGCCCGGTTGCCCCAGGTTTCTGTCTTCCTTTGCTCAGTTCTTCTCTCGGCTACTCTCTCTACTGAAATGGAATCACAGCAGTTCTCCTGCTGTCGTTGAAAGAAAAAAGTGTAACGTGGCAGTTTTGCAAAAATCATAAGCCTTGGATGGGAACACACAAAATGCCTATCCATACAACGATTAAAGGTTAAAAAAAACTGAATTGCTATTTCACATCAGATGTAAAATAATTACCTCACATCTAAATCAGAGCCATTGATCTTGTTTATCTTTAATATTCGTGCAAGCTAATTATGTGCGTTCACTCGCGGTGTCGCGCGCGGTGGCCGTGTCCAGGTCCACGAGGGTAGGGGGCAGGCCGTAGTTGGTATTTTTTTTTCTTCACATTCTTAAGCTGGCATGTCATTGTTTGTCCACAAGTCCCACGCATTCCAGCCCCACTGAAGTGAGCGTGGGGAGGGTACGGTTCCTCGGTTCACTCGCATTCATTCACTCATCCACTCTCATTTCTTTTTTTATTTTCTTTTTTCCATTTTATCTTTTTTATTTATTTGTAAATGCATGATCTTTTTTACCATCGATGTCACTTAGCTGTCCACCACATAAACAAAGGGTTGCTTTTTTTTCTCGTCCCAATTACAATTCCACCCTCAACTGTAACTACAGCCCGATCTCGTCTCGGTTACAATCTCACCCTCGACTCGCAACTGAGCCCCGATATTTTTGTCCTTGTTGCAAGCCACCCTTGGCTAGCAACTGAACCCCGATATTTTTTGTCCACGTTGCAAGCCACCCTCGACTCACAAGTGGGGCCCAATTTTGTTTTCCTGGTTGTAAGTCCACACTCGACTCGTAGTTGAGACCCAACTTTTTTGTCCCAGTTGCAAGTTCACTCTCGACTCGCAACTGGACCCCAACTTTTTAGTCTCAATTGCAAGTTCACTCTCGACACGCAACTAGGACTTGATTTTTTTTGTCCCAATTGCAAGTCCATAAACGACTCGCAACTGGGACTGACATTTTTGGTCCTAGTCAATAACCTAACCTCGACTCACAATTGGGATAAACCTTTTTTGTTTCAGTTGCAAGTCCACTGTCGACTCGCAACTGGGCCCAATATTTTTTGCCCCAGTTGCAAGTCTACCCTTGACTCACAACTGGGGCCCGACTTTTTTTTGTCTTAGTTGCAAGTCCACACTCAACTTGTAACTAGGGCCCAACATTTTTTTGTCCTAATTGCAAGTTCATCCTTGACTCGCAACTGGGGGGTGACCTTTTTTTTGTCTCAGTTTCAAGTCCACCCTCGACCCGCAACTGGAGCCCAACATTTTTTTTTGTCACCGTTGCAAGTCCACCCTAGACTCGCAACTCGGCTCTGACCTTTTTTGTCTCAGTTGCAAGTCCACTCTCAACTCGCAACTGGGCCCAGTTCAACGTACATTTTTATGCTTTACGTGCGTGTTTTTAAATTGAACTTTTTTTTATTTATGAACATTTTTATTAATTTTATGAATATTTTTTAAACAAAAAACATTATTTTTGCTACGACATGAGTCAGGTTTGACTCGCTAAAAAGTCCCGACATACGAATAAAAGGTTGACTCGAATGCATTTATTAACTATCGTAAGTCGGTCAGGATCCCGGTGTATGGTTACTCCAGTATAACAAAGAGTTGGGCATCTAACTAGAGTGAGTAAGCCGAGACAAACAAACAGGCTCAAGACAAACAAACAAACAAACAAACAAACAAATAAACAAAAGAGGCCACAAACAATATTGATGTCATACTTAGATGTGAGTTATTATCTCACGTCTAGGTGAGATATAGTCAAACAAAAAAAAATAGGGTGCTCCTACTCATTGGAAGCAGGTGATTTCATACCCCTTTTTGTTATTTTGTCAAACATCCACAAAAGCTAGCATCGGCCTGGCCCGGCAAATGACTTGGGCTATTGGCACTGGGCCCATTTCCGAGGCTCTTGCTGTCTTCCATTTGGTCCCCCAAATCAACCGCCCTGAATCTCTCTGCCTGTTGAAATCGGTTGGAGCGGGACGGGAGGCTCTGTTCGTCGTCTATATAGCCTCCCTCCATCGCCGTCCTCCCCTCCCATTGTTTCTTCTTTCTTGCGAAGCTATTCGACCCGAGGCGAGATGGCGGGCAAGCGGAAGGCCGGCGACGACATTCCCGGGGCAAGGCATCGGGCTGCGCGGACGGACACTGCAGCCGGCGACGACGTTGCCGGTACTTCGGCGCAGACTGCAGGGCCGACGGCGAATGCAGGCGGCGACAGCACTGCCGGGACTTCGAAGGCGCTCGCAGGGCCGACGGCGGCGACTACGCCCAGCGCTGTAGGCTTCCCCGGCGCCTCTCCCCAGTCCGGTGGAGGTGGGTGCCCAAGAAATCAAAGCATACGGCGAGCGCGGGGTTCGTTCTCGCGTTGGTGGCTTGGTGCCCGCTTCTTGGATTGTAACATCCGGTACCTTTGTTTCTTGCAGTTGCAGTTGCAGTTGCAGGCCGCGGGGGCGGGGTCGGGTTGGGGCAGAGGGGATCCGCTCGGCCGCACCGGCAGGCGCTTGCAGGGCATACGGCGATTACACCAGCCTTCGCTGTAGGCTATCCCGGCGGCTCGTCCCAGTTCGGCGGAGGTCGGTGCCCAAGAAATCAAAGAACAGGACAGAGCGCGTCTTTCATTCTTGGGTTGATGTCGCTTCTTGGATTGCAGCTGCTCGCGGGGAATTCTCCCAGTGGCATTGGAGGGCGCCGACGACGCCGGTGCTCCGGCCGCCGCTGGGCAATCCAGGTGCGTTCCCTCCCTAGAAAAGCGCCAAATTCTTTCTGATCCGTGCGGTTCTTGGTTCTTCATTGACGTCGGAGTTTGATTTCTTGGTTTCTGTCGCAGCCGTTGTGAATGCGCCCATCCCGTACCAGTACCACGCGCCGACCGGCTATGATTTCTTCCCCGGCCAGAACCAGATCGCCGGCCCCTGGCAAACAGGAACAGGGC